TGCAGCCTCGATAACACTAGCCATAGACCTCTGTAAATTCGCAAGAAAAAATTTCAGTCCGTGGCATTCCTTCGCATATCCTTTTGGCAAGTTTGTCTCCTGGAGGCATGCAGTATTTGGTCGCGTCAATGGGCATTGCTAAATTACGGATTCAAACAATTCTTGATGCAGGAGACCTGAGCACACACATGCTTCCGTTATAAACAGCCACCCTACACTACTCTTACTACTCCTCTTGATACAGGGAGATGAGTTAGTGATAAGCACAATAACCACTCACCAAAAAAGGCACCGGCCAGCTGGGAGGAAACTGACCAAGCATTGGCACACTACTAGCAGTTCTAAAATTACTTAAATAGGCTGTTGAAAAACCACTTCTCAGTAATGTAGAGCTAGTTGGCTGGATACGCTTTGCGACTCCCTCCACCGTCACTTTTGGTATTGGTATGGCTGCAAAAATCTCCTCCTTCCATTTGCCAAGAGATTCCTCCAAATTTACAGACTCCTGTTCCAGTGCTTTCAGCCTCTCTCGCGCCTTCTCGACGGTCGCTGAAGATGGCTTGGCCGAGACTGCCGAAGTTTGCGACTCAAGGCAGCAATCGCCTCTAATGCCTAGAAGCACCGAGCCAACAAACGGTGCAAGTCCACCATAATTGAGAATAAAGCAACTATTTCCAAGCCTAATAATGTACTCAATATCGTCGCATGTGCTGTAGCTATTAAATAAAGAATGCTATCATTACCTCAAGCATATTCAAATACATAAAGATCAAATCGAAAGCTCAAATAAGAAGAATCTAAATAGAGCTTACAAGCAAGGTGTTTTATAAAGCGTATCCCGAATCTTAGTACTGAGTATTTATATTTCAATGACTGAGATTTTATACATTGAGATACGGCAACCGTATTATATTTATTTACGTATTGAAGAGAGAGGATGCTGCAGTGAAAGACGATTTCACGACCTTCTTGAAAATGTCATTTATCCAAAATGATAGATAGAGCAAAGGGAGAAATGGGGGTTTACCAGTCGGTGCCGTAGTTGTGATGACGGGCCAGAAGCGTGGGTCCGGAGGATGCGCGCTTCTTTGATCGGCCAGTCGCCCACGCAGTCGATTAATCTCACGCTCCTGGAGGTATACACGCTCCTCCAAACGGCTCTTCTCTGCCCTCTGCAAGGAGAAACACATTTACTAGGATTAATAAAATCGTTTTTTAACATTGAAAACGAGTGTGCTATCCAGTTCGAGAGGTACAAAACCGTCGATCTGTTTACACGAAAGCTGGAAACTGTCATAACAAATGCTGCTACTGCCAGATGCTCCTACACAATTTCCAGGCCAATACCAATTGTTATTATTTATGTGATTTAAATCGCGGTTATTTGCCAGATTAACATGATTTTCGTCAAATCAACAATTAATATGCGTTTGAGAAGACAGCAGCTATAGCATGCAAAGTCTTGAGGCATTTCGCCCAATTATTACCAGTTCTTCTATCTTCACATTGGAGTTAATTCTTTCTCTATTGTTATTTGCGCGCTCCTGATCAAGAGCTGTCCGTAAGGATTCGTTCTCCTGGCGCGTAGTCACGAGAAGGTTCCTCTCAGAGACTGCAGTTAACGCACCTACAAGGAAAGAGTAAAATCACTTCCGACATCACTTTACCTATTCACATTATTTACTATTTTGTGACCGCGAATGCAGCCACACTGAAAGTTTTCACAT